TTTTATTAAGAAAGGACTTGTGTCGCTTAAGTCTCGTCGGAACGAAGTTACGAAAAATCAATTAACAAGCGGAGACGTAACAGTATGTAAGACAATAGAGTATAGTACTGTAATAAGAAGCAGTAAAAACTAAAATACATTTATGTTTATTCTGTATTCGGAAGTAGGCCACCTCAAAATCGTAGGCCCATGCCAACTGGCCCTCTTCTGTTCTGGCCTGGTCCTTCAACACAAGGAAACTTACACTGCTTATCAGGGTCCTTATAAAGGAGCCATAGCAGGACTAGCTATTACATGTTAACATCCAGGGCAGCTTAAGCTACAAAAATATAGAATAATGGAACTTTGCCAACACGCTGTTTCAGATATTATAAACTCTTAACAAAACCTCTTTAAATTATTTTTTGGGTTTTTCCTCTTCAACTAAATATTATTTTCACCTTTATTGCTTATGTCTTCCTGTTTGACAGTAACCCCCAACATAATGAAGTCTAAAGTTTTAAAGATCAATGTGTGTGCAGATTACGCAATTTTAACGAACACAGGGATAATTTTTATTTTAATCTAATTAAATGCAATATTTTTCTTCAACATTTTGCTTTTCACCTCGCTCATATTCCATTATCGAGAATATGTAATATTAGCCTATTGTGTTCTCGTCCGTCGTCTATGGTGTGCGAACCAAATTAGTTAGCAAGTTAAGCTCCAGATGGCAATCAAAACGTATCCCAGTGTCACATGAGAATTGAAAAATGGCTGGCGAAGGATTTCTTTCCATTGCTATAATTATTTGTTCTTTTAATTTGTGTGTCTCCTCGTTAGAGGTTCCGGTATTAATATGGGGAGATGAAAGGTTAGTTTTAATATACGATTGCTGATTAACTTTATTTTTGACTGTTTTCATAAGACTTATTATTCAATATTTAGGTGCAAGAATATAACGATTTTGCAATGTAAATTGTAAACAGTAAAGTCAGTAAAGTATAATTGAATAATGTAGACTGTCGAAAATCGAATACGAAGCAGATTGCAAAGTTGTGGCAGAAGTACTCGAAATAGTAAATATTACACTTCACTGACTTTAGCCATACCAGTTCAGTACTGCTAATGCTAGCTATCTTCACAATCAGAGAATGTTATTGAGCAAGATAATATAACATTATACACAGAAAAAATAGTAATATATTATTAATAAATTCAAAAGGAAAAGTAACCGCTTTTTCAGCCTCAGGATGTGCTGAAACTAATAAATTGCAAGTTGATGAATTGGTTTGGGTGCATGTCGTAGCTGTTGATATTGTTTTCTTCATATATTTATGTTTGGTAATCGTTGTATCACATCAATTACTTTTATGTCGTCCTTTTAAAATAATTTTTGACTTACCTTCAACACTCATTAAAAGGTTTAGTAAAGCTTGAAACATTTTTTTGTGAATAAAGCTCTTTGCCAAGACAAAATTTATCCTAAGAGTAATACCTTCAAGAAGCATAGCAAATGGTTATTGCTATTAGTGATTTCTTATTTTTTATGTTTCTGATGAATGAAAGATTGCAAATGTGCTCTGTTTTTAAATAGAGCCGAGGAGAGAAAGTGATAAATTACAGGCTTATTATTGATACTACTATTACTAGTTTGACTTTTGTTAACCCGATGTGAAGAGGTGCAGTTCATTGGACTGCTATGTACTAGAGAAGAAATATTGTGGCAAGCTTTTAATAAAGTGTACAAATTTGTTATACACATCAGTCTGACAAGTTGGAGTGCAATGTGATGTTCATGTGAAGAATAACAATACCTTTTCTGTCATATAGTTTGGATATTTTACTTACATAACCCCTAGAGCCTCTGAAATGCATATCTACAACTATTTTAAGTATTCCTGTATATTATATCTGATATTTGCTCTCCTCTACCATAAACTGTTATTAAGTCAGTAATGTAGGGTAAAATGAATAGGTGAAAACTCTGATATCAAATAAATAATTCCATGTTGAATGGCATTTTGTAAAAGGTTGTGGCTTGTGCACTTTACCACTACCTGTGTGTAGGATATTTACATTTTTTGTCAGAACCTATTTAGAAAAGCTTTTGAAGAGTTGGCTTTCTTTTGATAATACTGAGTGTAAATCTAGAAAAACGTAACTTGCTGTAGCAGTTTGTTGGATCTTTTTTTCTTATGCAATTTTTTGTTGAGGATACCCCAGTTGATTTTGTGTATTTTGATGCAAAGAAATTTATTGAAAATATATCTTACAAGAGATTAATTAATAACTAAGATGTTTGTGGAGATGGCAGAAAAGTTAAGAGTTAGACAGAAAATAAGATATTTTGATACAGAGTGAAAGGTTATAAATAGTTTTTTTTTCATTTAAAGAATAACAGAGCTTCTCAAAAGCCTGTTTTGACTCCTTCACCATTCATAATAGTGTGAAGTTAAGTCAGTTTAAATATAGCATTTTACTTTTGTATACCTAATCAAAAATCTTTTAATAGCATTTCAAACTAAATATTGTCGTAATACATTTCACAAGATTATAACTGTAACATAAATAAAATTCTGTTGAATAGCAACTTTATATCTTGGCTTCCAAAGCTTAAACTTATTACCTCTACTATTCAAGCTCATATTTTCAGCTTTGTTGTTCTAACACCCAAAGAAACCACCTGTAGGAGAATATCTCCGACAAATTTAAAAATTTGAATCAAGGCTCCTTTTATTTCTGTACTGTAGAAAAAACAAGTACAAAACTCTAAGCCTTTCTTGATAGTTTAACCATGTCACAATAGATGAGCATCATTCAAGTATCAAGAGTACACTTGCATATTAAATTTAATAATTTGAATAAAAATAATAATGCTAATTCTATTTCAACAATTTTTAACATAGAAATATTTTAGAGTTGATATTTTGTCATCGTGTAACATTTTTCCAATGTTTTTTTGCATAAAAAAAATTTAAAAAGTTCAAACTTACACTTCTGCACAGCTCCTAAGAAACTATCATCCCTTAAAAATATAATTAGCCATGTCTTGTTTCTCATGATTTTACTTTTCTATTTGAGAGTTATCACAGCTCTTTATTCTCATCCTTTTATGATGTCATAGCATGTGATCAGGCCCACCTAGAGGGGGGAGGGGGGAACTACCCTGGGGTCCATGCATGCGCAAGGGCCCATAAAAAATGCCCCCAACTTTAAACTCTACTTTTTAAAAATTTGCATACTCTTAAGCTAAGAATCCATAGACCAGAAAAAACTGATGCGAAATTAGCCTACAAGCCAAGCCAAGTTTAAAATGGAAAATAGCATAACTTTGGACTGAATAAAGGAATTTCCTTCAAACATAGTTATAACAATAGAACACTCAAAAACTGCTGGTACTCTAAAAATATATTTTTTTTTCCAGATTTGTACATTAGATTTACTATTGAATATTAGTTGAAGATTTCTCAGCATTCATCATCATTTTCTTCACATAAGTGTCAATTTCATTATTTCTGTAGCAAACCTGCTTATAACGTTATATTCATTTCGTTTGAATGATATTTCAATTTTACCTGTCATTAAATGTCGATTTTCTTATTCAACAGAGATAATTATCATTTTTCATGCTTTTCATTGTTCCTTTGAATTTTCTCTATTATTCTGGTTGATTTTCATGTTTCTCACTTACTTTCACAAGTAACTTTCGTTTTTCGTGTTTTTGATACTTATCTCTCATTTCATTTTCTTTTGTATCAATTTGTTTATAACATACAGTAAGCTATCGTTTTACATGTTTTTGTTCTTTTACTGTTTTTATTGGATCACTATTTATCAGATCCATTTAAAACATCATTTGTGATGGTATTTACACTACTAATAAAAACACCCGAAATACGATTATAAGGCAAAGAACTTTTACTTCTTCTTTATTTAGATTTATAGCTTTACACATACTTTATATTTCTATTTTTCAACTGAATAACCTCCATTACTGTTATCATTTCCATATCAACTGAATAACCCCATTACTGTTATCATTTCCATATCAACTGAATAACCTCCATTACTGTTATCATTCCCATATCAACTGAATAACCTCCATTAATGTTATAATTTCCATATCAACTGAATAATCTCCATTACTGTTATCATTTCCATATCAACAGAATAACCTCCATTACTGTTATCATTCCTATATCAACTAATATCAATATTGATTTGTGACACTCTTTCATGGAAGCACTTTTTGACTGGCTCAGTTTTGGTTTCTTCTTTGTCAACTGGCATCCAGGGCACCTCTTCCTCTGCCTCCATCTCAGTCACTCTTATTCCATTATCATACCTCTCTCTTTCACTCATGAATATTCTCTCTTCATCTTTGCATGTGGGATTTGTCTGTTCCCTTGCTCACTGGTCAGATTTATTTGATCCTGTACCTCTTCTTTTATCCTGTTTGTGTCACTTTTCTACTCTCTTTTGCTATCATTGAAAGTGGCGTGTTTTTGCTGTTAGTCTATTCACCACTTTCTACTACCAGGCCATTCTACTGTTGCCCACCATTTGGGTTTCTGTACCTAGTTACTTGATAAAGAAATATTGGTTTCTACCATTGCAGGCTATTGGGCAGCCTTGTTGACTACCTTTCATCCTTTTTTGCCAAGATCCTGTCTTTCCTTTTTCTTTCTACTCTATTCTGGTCCTTCCTAATTCATTGTCCCCTCATCCAGATCCTTTACCTGACTGAAACCTTAATGTGGTTCTCCACATTTTTACCCAAGCCCTTTTTGATTCCTTGGCCACTTACTCCTCATACCATCTCTCTTAAAACCTCTTTCTTTCTTCTTCTTGCCTGTGGTCATTGCAGGTCTGATCTTTGTACATTGGATGCTTCCCATACTTTATTTAATAGAACTTCCATGATTTTATTCCCTGACTGCTCATTTCTTCCTAAGACTTGGGCAGCTCGGAAAGGAGGTCATACCCTTCCTTCCATATCTCTTCCATTGATCTCAGCCCTCTGTGATCATACTTACCCTAATCACCTTTTTTGTCCAATTCAGGTGGTCAGGTATTGCTTGGCATGCATGGTAACATTTAGGAGTTCCTGTATTCATTGATTGTTGTTGCCATGGGTCTCCTCTTTCATATTCTATGCTCACTTGATAGATTCATCAGCTCATCTGGATCATCTGTTTCTCCCTGGATGGAGATGCTTGCAGGCTGTATCATGTCTCATCACATCAAATCTACCGCTTGACTCACTCTCTGATGACGTTGGACGAGATCTTCCTGGTTGGAATGTGAATTACACTTGACACTGTGTATCCCAGTATCTCCACTATCTGGTGGTTTTGCCTCCCTGCAGTAACTACTTTCCAGTATACTCACTGTCTTTAACAGTTAATTGCCTCTTTTATTTCCTTACCTGTATATACTGTTCTCCCGTTCCATTCTTGGAACCCACCTAGTGGCCACTGTTGCCTCACTTCCCTAAACTTGCATTTAGTCAGGAGTAATAGAAAATATTAAATCCATTTGTCCTAGCTTCTAAAGTTCCCACTGTTGATATGGGGTTTTCCACAAGACCACAATAGTGGTATGTTTCATTGTCTGTTACAAACTGTACTGTCCATGAACTGTAACTAAGGGAATATCTGCCCACTTCCTTGGCTTGCACATGCCTGCTTTTCAAATTAGGTTTTGTGGTAACCCACACTTTTTTCAGTAAAAGCCCATTGTGATAGTTAGGTCTGATCTGTTTCAGGCACATCTCTGGTGTGTTGTCCAACATTAATTCATCTTCCCCCGGTCTTCAAGTGTAGCACTGGAGATCCTTGCTGTTGGAGTGGTTGACTTGTTCTTCAAGTTCTTCACTTGTGTGATCCCTCTAGAGAGAGTCCAAGTGGACAGCAAAGTACAGTGGGTTGTAGTGCAGGGGTATCCATGTCATTGTAATGCAAGTTACCCCTTATCATATAATATGCTAATTTCTCTGTGGTTTGGCCAACCATATGGGGCAGAGTGTTCTCCTCATGTAACAAGAAGGCACTTAGTTCCTGTGTGTAAGGTGAGTAAAATGTACAATAGAGCACATACCAAACCATATGGTTTGATCATTGCCCTGGCCACACTACATTTTATATCCAACCAACCTGTTGTGTGCAAACCAACCTCTTTCCACCCATCTCTGCAACACATTGACTCATTTTGCCTTCTTCCAATACTTCCATCCAGATGAAAAGTATACTCTGTATTAGATGGATGTAGTCTCCCATGAGTGTTACCCCTTTAGTAAGTCCCCACTATACAGTGTTGCACTCTTTGAGCTTTCTACTTCAGTTGCCTTCTCCAAAGAGAGCTCATCTAGGTTTTTGCAAATGCACCAGCCATTTCAGCACATCAGTGTGGGATTCTAGCTACTGTGTGCAGAGAGATAAGTATATTGTTTGAAAATTTAACATTTTCCTTACCTTAAAATGCATTTCTGATAGATACAACCTCTTTGCACACCTTCCTACCTCTCCTACCCCCACTGGTGCACCTTATTCTTGCCTCATCTAAGAATGAAGTTAATTTGGAGTGCAAGTGCTTATGTGGAACTACTGTGTGTGGAGGATGTGTCGCCCTCCTATTGTTGAGGGCTATTGTTGCATAATGATTACATCATGCACTAGCACAGTTCATGTTATGGTGTCTTATGTGGAGACAGCTCAAGGCTAGAGGCATGCACAAAATCTCAAAGGAAGACATGCAAGGAATAACTACTGTGTATTGAGAGGTAAGTATCTATTACAAATACATTTTGAGATAAGAAAAATGTTAACTTTCAGATTATAAATTTAAAAAAACCCTGAAATTCTAAAATGAAAGGAAGTATTCTTAATGATTTTGTAAATAGTATCACACAGCAAGATATTAGAAATTTCACAGTATAAACATTGATGAGAAAAGTAAATACAATTATATGAATGTTTTAAGCTGAAACTAGATACTGTTTAATAAGTTTATACTAATTTTTAAGCAATTAGATTAAGTATTTTCACTGTGAGCAAAAGATATCATTAAAACCCCACTGGTCTGGAAAGAGTTAAATTATTCTAATCAGAAATCATTCTAGTATCCCATATTTTCACTCTTTCCAATGTCAGTATGTTTTCTGAAATAGAAACATTATATTATGTATGATTAATGCATGCATATCTGAAAAATGTTTAAAATTAGGATAAATGAGAAGTATTTGCCTTTTTAAGATAAAAGAAATATTTTGCATTTTAAAAAAAAACACACACTTACGTAATCTATGAAAAGTAAGTTTGCTAATTTTAATGAAATCTGCAATGCCAGTTATGTTTGAAATTCTTTTTTTGAATATTCATTTCAACAGTTTTTACAAACTTACATAAGTGTGAAACTTGAACTGTTCAGAGATCAAGTTCTTGCAGTGAATATGTGACTCATTCTTAAAAATATGAGTTTCATTTTATAGTTTGTTTCTGAATGAGAATGTTCCATGTTGTACTTGTAAGCCTGAAATTTTTCATATTTAACAGAATATTTTATTGTAAAGGTACATTTAAAATGTATTGAAAATAAATTTTCAAGAAAAATTAAATTTAAGATGGTTTTTATGTAGTTATAAAGGATACAATTTTTTAATGAAATGTCCAAGTTTAGTGTCGCAGAGAACCTATTAACATTTTTCTTAATTTCTGATAGCTTTGATGGCCATCCTGCAGCTTCAGCTTTAAGTTCAGTTGGACAAGATGAATTTGAAACAAAGTACTTGAAGAAAATTTTATCCTCAGAAACTTTGTTGGTTGCCTTTATACAAGATAAGGTTTGTTTTTTGTATTATATTTTGAAATAGTTTAAATGTTAAAATAATTCTTAGCTTATTAGTTACTCTTACTTTGAGTTCTTGGAGAAGGTTCAGAGGACGAATAGTAGGATTATTCCAGAAATGGAATAAGTTATCATATGAGAAAAGATTAAGATTTCATAGTCTTTCTAGAAAAGAAAGGTCAGAGTTGATCTAACTGAGTATCCAAAATTATTAAAGGAATTAGTAAGACTGATACATCAGATTTTTTTTGTGTTGTATCTGAGGGTGGTAGGGGCAGGATATTGTGCATTTAAGATTTGGAAAGATCATACTTATCTCCAGATGAGGCACTTTTATATCTCTAGAAGGATAGTAAATCTTGGGAAAAGATTTACATTTATAGTAGTAAAGGCTGCAACTTTACAGGAGTTTAAGTAAAGGGTTGATAAATATTTGAAGGATCAGGGCAGTGATTAATTTTCTATTTGTTGAAAGAAAAAGAAATTGGGAATTGGGACATTCTTGATGGGCCAAACAATCTTTGATATCCTATAATATAATTATTTCAACCTTGAATTTCTTACTTAACTAAGTGTAAAGAGTAATATATGTGGAGTATTTGACATATAGTCGATGTGTGGTTGCTTTTCAACACCCTCTCCATTGCATAGTGGTAAGTCTGAAGACTTATAACACTAAAAACCAAGTTTTGATACCCGTGGAGGGCACAGAACAAATAGCCACTTTTTCAATCTGGGAATTATTCAATGTTTATTTGTCATTTATTTGACAAATTTCTATTTACTGGTTAAAAATCTGGGTATTATTCAATGTTTATTTGTCATTTATTTGACAAATTTTCTATTTACTGGCTAAAAATAGATTTTTGTTCTCTGTTATTTCCTATTTAAAGCAAAAAAAGAAAGGAATACAATGTAGAACATTACAGAAACATAGGAAGACAATCTTATGCCTCCTATTTTTTGTAACTGCAAAATGGCGAAGTATTTTTAATTGCATTATATACAGTGTATGAGGATGTGACCATGATGGAATATCCATTGAAAGAAAGTTTTCAAGGAGATTTGGACAAGAGAGTGTCCAAAAAAAGAATAGAGAGAAAGCTATAAGTGAAAAGTAGAAAGCTTCTTTGAAAACAAAAGCTGATGTTGTCTTAAACTTGAAGATGGTATTCAGGTGTTAATACTGAAACAATAGTCCCCATTAGGCTATAAGAATGGCAAGACTGTCAACAGTAAACATGCTTTTAAATAGACATCTGCGATTGTAGTCAAGAAAATACTTAAAAAACATTACTTAAAGATGCTTCAAATTGAAGTGAAATAGTAAAATTAGCTTTAATGGTGAAGTTATCATGCTATTTTTGGTGACCCCAGTGAAAACTGTGTTTTGAGAAAATAGTTGTTAAAGCCAATATCAGCATGAAATTTAGCACACTTGTTGATATTACACTCTTTCATAGCTTGAATATTTTTAAATTCAAAAATCTTTACCAGTTGTCTTGTGATGAGTCTAATTACCACTAATGAGGGCATTAATTACAATTAATTGTCCATAACTCATTAATATTGCAGAAAATTTGCAAAAAATTTTTAAGTCAAGCTATGAGGATATTCACAAAGAGTATGTGTATCAATTTTCACATGTTTTTATCATTCCTAAGTAAAGTTATGGTGTTAAAACAGTTTGTTATGTATTTTTTTATCCCAGCTGCATTAATTATACATATGACATATATGACTGAAAGTGAACTTTCAGAGATTGTGACATCGTACTTTTGTTTTGTGCTCATGTTGAAGGTTATAAGAAGTGTTTAACAGTGTTTCCTCAGCATGTAAATTTGCCCAGTTTCAAGGGTCAGTGCTATCTTAAATGGTTTCAGAATAATACAGACACAAGAGGTTTGTAAAACTTTAAGCATTTATTCAGATAACTGTGTTATTAAACTGTTTATTACCTAAAGAATTCTTGAATCAGATCCTTTTTGTATGTGCATCTGACTGCTTCACTATCATCCAGCAAGAAATATCATTCATTGTCCAAAGTGTAAGCAATTACAATTGAGTACAGCCATCTTTCTATTAGCTTTTACTGATGTCTAATCAAGAAACTGCATTGGCTGAACATTTTCATATAATTTGGTTAAGTATTGTCATTGTGAAAAGTAAAAAAATCAGGATATCATTTACATCTCCCTTGTCCAGAAATATATTAATTAAATCCTGGGATTCTCTTATATAAATCACAGGATTTGGAGAGCCCCATTAGTATACAGGATCCTGGGTTGCAACTCCTAGAGAAGACTCAAGTCACAATAAGAACCTTGAATAAGTGTTATTGATGAAGATGAGAACAGTGATGAAAAGGGTGGTAATAAAGAAGTGGAAACATGAACTTAATAGTTATTCCAAAAGTATTGTAATAGTACTTTCTTATTGGGTATTGAAATCATCTCAGACAGCATCTTGTGCTGTATGCAAAGAAACTGGAAATATCATGTTCAAGATTCTAGTCTCAAAGAATTGAATGATTAGAAACAAAGAAAAGATATGCTATTCACTGCCAGGTAAATTGCTGTACAATTACAACACTCAGGAACTTTAAATATTGCAGATGGAAAACAAGAGCTTTACAGTTCATTGTGAATATTATATTATGCCTGTAACATTCAAAGTTAGATTGACTTGTCACTTAAAGCATGGACAGTTTTAAGGAGTAAAATATATCTCCAACTATAGTGATGAAACAGTATGTTTCAGCAGGGAGCAAAACAATCAACAGTAAAGTTTTTGGCAGTTATTATATAGTTAGAACTTGTGGGGAAATAACCTAGTAGATATAATTTACCAAATGAGTTTGATACCTGACAAGAAATAGGATGATTGTAGGATTTATAGAAGAGGGGAAAGGACCTGAAACTAGAAAATTTGAGAGAAAGGGATGGATTTGAAATCAAGCAATTAATTAGCAATGTACTTGGTGCTAAACAAAAAATAAAGCCTCATTTACCTTGCAGAAGTTGAAAAAAAATTGTTTATTAACCCACTGACTGTAGCTGGGAAATATCCCAGCTGCAGTGAAAGGGTTAAGAATTCTGTTTTTTTATTAAACTGCTATAAATTATTGACACAAAGATTTTAATTTTAAGTAAATAGTAACTCATATCTTTTATATACATATTTTAACTGTTTTAATTGCTAAATTTTATATGCTAAATCTAGTGTTGATATGCTATAGTGTGTTATTTTTTATTTCTTTATCAAAAGTTCTATTTTGTGTGTTTATTATAGATTTAAGAAAGGTTCATTGAATGAATCTCAAACATCTAAATATGCCTGTTATATATTTTTAGTGACATGATATTTATGATATTAACATACATTTTCAGAAGTAGCGAGGTTAATGATTTGTAAATAAAATTATAGAGACAGTAATATTATATTTTGGAAATATGTTTACATTTTAGTTGAGCCTGGAAGATTTCTATCAGTACGATAACAACAGATTAAATGGAGACAGCATTTTTCCAACTCTAAAGGTGTGTTCTGTTTGTTGTTAATCCTTACTATCAATTTTAAAATTAACTATTTGAGAATTGATTTTGAAAGTGTTTTATGTTTGATTTGAACATAAATGTATGTAAATATTCATTCTTCATACGTGAAACTATTAGTTTCTGATAAAACAATGTATGTTTTAAATTATGATCAGCAGTTGTTTCTATATCCACAAAGTAAATAGGTTATAAAGGATTGAATAAAAATTCTCTGCATATTCATTTTCTAGCTAATTTTTTTTTACACACTATATTCAATAAAATTATTAACTTTGTGTATTTTTATTCCACCTTGTGAGCTCTATAGTTCTTAACCCATGTGCTTGAAATCTCTGAATCAGAGCAGCACAAAACAAAATATCCATATTTTTTATGTTTTGGTAAATTTCTCACTGTAATTGTTTATAATCTATAAAGTTATTTATACCATAAAGTTATTTCTAATGAATTATAAGTTTGCTTAAGAAAAAAAAACTGTATTTGGTGTATTAAATATGAAGACATAATAACTGGATCTCATTATTGGAAACTTTTCCTTAAATCATGCCTGTATCAAAGTTATCACATTCCTACATGACAGTTGCAGTTCTTTAGAGACCACATTGAAAAAATACTAGACATTGAAGAATAAGTAAAAAAATAAAATTAAGAAATGATAAAAAAATTCTATTACATTAAGGTCTAATAGGCTAAGTTTTGTTTTAATCCTCAGCATAGCCGTACTTTAGAAATGCCCTGTAAAAAGAAACAGTACTCAAAAGAGACACTGAGCCTTTTCCAGAATTGGATGTTGTTTGTAGAGATAAATTGATCCATTTTTTTAGATTAAACTTCTGTTACTAGTATAATAAGGTTGTTTCATTTATAAAATTGGGACAGTGCTTATAGATTTACACTGATTCTTCTCATAGAAGGTCATAAAGAATACGTTCACCCTAATTAATGAGACAGTAGTCATTAAGGCTAGTGTTTGAAAAGTTTCATTCTGCAGAACCATTTCCATCTATAGAACTTGTTCTTTCTATCTACAGAATGAGACTACCCACAGAACATGTTTACATGCACTAGGAAACAAGATCTACTATCTTCAGGATCGATCACTTTTCTCTCTCTCTCTCTCTATGAGACTGTTCCATTTGTTTAGTAAGAAAGTGCACATAGAAACACTTGGCCTTTCCCAGGATGAGTTTGTTACAGTTTAAAACATGAGATTGGATCATGTACAGATTATTCATAAAGATATTTATATTGTGTTTTTTCCTAGTACAAAATCGTACAATATGTTATGACATAATATTCTTCACCAAAATTTATTCCTGATGTAAAAATTAACAAAATATAACAAGAACATTTTCATTATAGACATATAATTCTATGATATAATTATGAGCTCATCACATCTCTATAGAGATTTTTATAAAAAAAACTTGTGTTATTAATTGAAGCATTATTTCATTGAATAATTAGGTATATAGTTCAATACATCACTGTAAGATACACTATTTTCAATAAACCTAAAATACTTATTGCAAAGTTACAGGAAGCTTTAATTATATTAGTGTATAGATAAACTTCTTTCTTGACCATTAATTTTTTTTCTTTTTCAGCAAGTAGATAGAATGCATTATTAGAAAAAGTAGCATAATGAAAATTATTAAAAATGTCAGTATGATATTAAAATTAAGTTCTTGTGTTTGTTAAAGAAGTGTAATAATTGTTTGTAGAGTAAAGAAAGTACTTTTATAATTTCATTAGAGTTGAATATATGAAAAACTGTTATATGTTGTAACAGTGAGTAACTAGAGATGATTTAAGCCATTGGTAATGGATATCTTTAGATAAAACATTTGCAAACATATAAAATACCAATAATGCTTTAAATTGTTCTATGAATTGTATAGAATATTAGAAATTAATGAAAAATTTTGGAAAATTTGCTTTTCAGTATGATTACACTAATGATGGATGAGAATGTGCAAGTTATTAGTAAGTATTAAAAAAAAGCAAATTATTGCAAGATACTGAATTTTTTTGTTTTAATGTTAAAAATGAAGAACTATTTTTTTTTTCAGATTATACCTCATTTTCTGAGGTTTGTAGGTAATTTTCATATTCATTGAGTATATTATATTTTGGGAATATATCTGATCAAATGTAATGTCAATACTAATTACTGAAGGAACCTTATTATAGGACCAACTAGACAGTCACCCATCGGTTGTTCTACCAGCAGTTACATCACCAGCCATGAGTCTTGAGAAAGCAGCTAGTCAATATCAAGTAAAAGAGCTGATTGTAGGTGATGACAGTTTTAACAAGTCATCATTGGAAGATGTTGATGTGCTGATTGTCAAACTACCATCAACACAAGAAGTAGAAAACAGAGGAGAGGCATTAAAACGTATTGGTGAGATAGTGCTTTAGTACTCACACAGAACAGAATGTGGAATTTTAATTATTGGTGGAATAACATGTATAACATTGATCATGGACAAACATGTTGATGCTTGTGTTAATAGCAGTAGATTATTACATAATAAAGCAAAATGTAAAGGAGCAGATAAAAATAAGTTCAGAAATACTACTTATCTCTATGGACCACTAAGGGATATTACCTCGTGCACAACTGCAGTGGAAGTTCTTGTGCATGCCACAAGCCTTGAACAACCTCCCACTTCTTTACATGTCTATTTGTATTGTGCCAGCCTATGATGCAATTATCATAATGCTGTAACTCTACACCAATAGGAGGGTGACAACCTCCATGAGCAGTAATCCCCTTGATCACTAGTATATGATAATAGGCTTGTTCTTGTGTTCAGATGTGTTTTTTTCTTATGTTTTTAAGTTTCTAGTCATCTTAATCAACTGTCTCTCTTTCTTTCTTTTGTGCTACATTGCTTTTGTCCTTGATGTACTTTCCTTCCATCTGCCTGATTGCAGCTTCTTTTTCTCCAGCTTTCACATTTGTACTTTAGGCCACTTTCAACAATGTGTACTAAGTAAAATATATATATAAAAAGGCCCAGACATCCCTTTTCAGGCATTTTCTCCAACTGACTCATTGACAACCGGAGGCATTTCATCTGTTCGTGGGCCTGACATTCAGTTGTTATCCCTTTAGCTCACTTAGTAGAGCACATGCCTGAGTATCACAAGCCTCAGATTTTACTCCATGGCAAGGTACTTTTAATATTATGGACTACTGAAATTTCCACAATCTTATGGAGCTGTTATGAACCATGGTGTACCAACAAGTTAACTGATGATGTTTCTACTTTCATGCTTCAGGTGCTTGTTTTCTTTCTACTTGTTTCTTCTCCAGTTCAAGTCCTTAATTGATTTGTTTCCTGCTGTGGAGCCTACCACATTTGTGGTTGATTTCTGCCAGCTCTTCCACCTTTGGCCTTTGTTTTTGGCTCTTTTCTCCCTGATAAGGATCAGGTACTTATTCCTTTTCTGTTTATCATCTTCAGGAGTGCAGTGTTGTGCAAGAATCAGATTTGAATATACCCATAAAAAAAGGCACCAGAATATGATTTACATATTAACGAATTGCACACCACCTGCTGACAACTTTTCCATCAGGTCCATTATCCTTATTCAGTATTTTAAACGTACTGTTTTATATTTTATCTCAATAGATTTTTGTATATTCATACAATGAAATTTTCAGGTTGTGCTAAAATAACAGTTCTTTTTTCCAATTGAATTGTGTGTGTTTTGTTTCATTAATATGTTCTGCTAAATGTGAAATAGTAATATTATTGTTTTAACATTTCATTTTTGTTTATTCAGTCTGTATTTTAAATACCTTCTAGTTTGTCCTATATAAACTTTTTCACATTCGCATGATATTTTATATATATCAAATTTTTTCCATTAAATTAATTTTATCTTTAGTTATATCAAGAATTTGGCTCACTTTGTTTATCAGTTTATATATCTGAAAAATATTTATTTATTTACTAAATGGCTTCCATTCCATTATTTGACAAGAAAAACAAGATATAAATGACAGTACTATATCTTTGTTTTTACTTTTTGCATCAAGTGGTTTTAACTTAATATTTTTATCCTAGTTTTTAGATTTTTGACAGTGCTATCAACAATGTCAGGATTAATGCCGCTTTCTACTGCTATATACTTAATTAATAATAACTCATTATTAATGTTTTTGTATTTACAACATAATTTTAGTATCATATCCACATAAGAGTAAAAAAACAGTAAAATTTAATAATTAAATAAAATCAATGTTTTATATTACACAATTTTGAAAACTCTATTAATTTGTTGACTTTTTTCAAAAAAAATAGTTTTTAGATAATATCCTAGGTTAATATTCATTTCAGATTTGAATTTCTTTTATTTCATTTAGCTGGAAAAACTGATGCAAAATATTTTTTTCAGACCAGTCTATTAGCAGTGTCCTTCATCAGCTTGTTGGTATAAAAAAAAAACTTAGTTGCAATATATACAGCTCATCAACCTTCTTGGGTATGTACATTAGCTTATCATTCAGTTAACTGTATTTGAGAGTATAGTTTTGCTAAAAACTCGTAAATATTTTAAAAGTTCACTACTTAGGAACTTCATTATAATTAAAATAAGAACCTTGATTTCATTGACCATAATATCCACCAGTGTTACAACTTTGTCAATTTTTTTTATTTTTAGTGTGTGATTGTTTCTTGTGTCAAAATGCAGGATAATATTTTATGCTCCTACACAACAGTTGAAATTTAATGAAATTTTTTGCACTTAATCAGTTGTCATTCACACTCAGTAAATCTATTTCATGGTGTTTAAAACAACTTCAGTAAATAGAAATGTGGAATAATGTATCAATTATAAATAATATTAGACTCTTAAGGTATTAGTTTTGTTGAGAACCTTGAGGCTGCATCATACCTAATCAAAGTTATGTAAACAGAACAAATATTACCAGAAAGTGTCATGAAACAATGTGAAGGAATGATAAAGCAGGTAAAAACAAGAAAATGGAGTTCAATTTCCAAATTTTATTATTTGATTTGTATTTAAGATAGTAAATGTGAATGAGTGAAATGGCATGATCTTATTTATTGAGTTAATAGAAGTAATTTTTCATCAGTTGTATGTAACTATATGCAACAACAGATTTTTTTTTCCTGTATGGATCAATAATTGTTAAAATTTCTGAACAAAAAATTTGAATGCATTTTATGTAAAGTAATCAAATCAGTGGAAAATTTCTCTATTCAAGGGATTTGCTGTCAGATAAAGGCAACAGAGTCTTTAAGAAGAATTGTAACTTGATAGTCAAAACTTTATGGTATCCAGTGCAACAAAAAAATGAAGTTCAACTCCATTGAAATTAAAACATAAAGAATTCCAATATATACTTACCTCCTCTAACACTAAATCCACTCTCTGTGGAAGCTGTCTGTGACCTGCTTTGGGGTGAGATGGAGTCTTTCATGTGGCCCGGGGGTATCTCTCTGGGAGGTGCTGATTTGAATTTTCATTCTGAAATGGGATGTACTGGGGAAAAGTTAGACTTACTGTTTCCTTCTTTCACTAGAGCTTCCTCTCCTGATGGCTCTTCTGATCAGCCACCTTCTGCATAATTGGGACTTTAGGGTTGTTTCACATGCTTTACCACGGCATCCCTTCGAACCCATGTCCTCCTGTTCATTATATCACCTTTCCCTCATAGTTTATTTTATTGTTGCTGTTAGCTTCCGGATTCCACCAATCTGATTTAATTACCATTCATGTTCAGTGGACTCTATCATTCTACCTATGTTTTGCTCTATCCTAACCAATTGTTTATTCCAAAAACTCTTGATGCCAGAGAAGGAAACAAATATTTTTGTCTCATTCATTTCCCTGGCATTTCTCATCTTTACAATAGATCATACCCGTATTGTTTGTTATGTTCCATCAGGGTACTTAGATGTTATGTGGCTCATATGGAACCATTTCAAGGCCCTAGGAACAGACTTTTTATTCATTGGGATCCTGCAGTGTCCAGGAATTTATTACCTGTTACTTTAACCAGATGGCTTTGGAAGTTGATCAATATTGCCTATTCAGGTTTATCTGTTAATGACTGCAATATGCTCCACGTCACCTCTCACCTAACTCAACACCTATCAATGTCTTTGGCTGCCCGGTTGAACTGTTCTCTAGAAGATATTTTGTGGGCCGATATATGTGGACTTCTCCTGACATGTTCATATCTCATTACCTTCACGATCTGGCAGTTTCCTCTTCAATGGGATTTCATCTTTCCCTTGTGGCTGTGTTGACTATCTCTACTAGATTTTAACAGGGAGGTGAGTAACGTGTTATCTGACTTATAGTTATGTTTTTTTCTCTTCTAGGGTACCTATTGATTTCTTTTGGATCCCACTTAGTGACGAGTGTTGCCCAGTTGGGTTTGCTTGTATTTAAATTCCGCATTAGCAACATTTATATCGGTTCCTGGTTGCAATAGGCTCTGCTGAGATGAGGTGTTCCATAAGACCATCTGGATGCAATTCTGGATGGTGATATTTTATTACAATATTTCTAATTGACCACTACTCATGGACTATCATGAGTAAACCTAAAGGGGATTTTACCAGACCATGCTGATTGTAGAGCTGAATCAGTCAAGATCAGTTTGCTTTTAAAAATTAGGACATGTAGTTCACCTGTTGCATTGTCTCCAGAGACCTGTTCCTCAGGACTCCCCAATGCTTATGTTCCCCCCTTACTTCTACTAGTGGAGCTCAGGAGTCCTTATCACACCCAGTTCCCAGTCACTGGGGTGGTGGACAGAGGATTTTCCTTTGGAGTGTTGAATTTCCTTCACTTTTGGAGAAGAGGGCAAGATTGGGGACACTCCTACCTGGGTCCCTTGAAGTTTTTTCCCAGATGTCGGTAGAAGCAGGACCAACCTACATGGGAGCCTACTTGTAAAACCAGTCCAGATTTGACGCTTAACTGTCTGATAAAGGGGGTGCTTGGACCCTCTTACGAACACTGTGAGGTCTTATGTTGTTCATGCAGGGGGTCCACTACCTCCTCTTAAATCCAAACGTGATGAGGTCCCATCTTTGGTCCTTGGTGTGACAGTGTTCCACATTATCTCCATTGCCCACTTGGTAGAGGAGTAAAGACAACTGTTTGTAAATCCAGACTGAATGAGTTCTGGACTTTGGTGGAGTATGCCATATAATCCTGTCAATCCAGACCTGGGATGCGGCATTTTGGACTTCTTCAGGTTGATCAGAAGGATTGTCCACATTGGTGTTGCTTTCTTTTTTTCATAAATCCAATGGTTCGAAACGCATCATTCTGTGGTTACTGGTAGGGATCTTATTCCAAAGATATATATTTCCAGTCCAACTGACCTGGCCATCAATGTGGGATATGGGTACCATGACCCCTTAAATCCAACCCAAGTTGTGGAACCTCAACTCTTTGGTTGGGGCTGGACCATTATGCTTGTATTATATTCCACTCTTTTCAATTCAATTTTCTGTAGTTCTGGGTGAAGAGCATACCTGTTCTGGATGTAGTACGGTGTTCCCCACTTTGATATCACTCCTCGTGGTACATATTTGTTCTCTGTAGACACTTTCTGTATGATCTCAGTCCTCACCAGCCCCTCTGCCTTCTCAGTGTGGGATTCTAACTATTAGTGTCAGCATGTGAGGGCTGGCATAAAGATTGGCAAATTAGATATTGCTGAGGGCAGTTGAGTGGGGTATATAAAGATTGGAGCAAGTGAACACAATGTTAGATGGCAAAGATGAAGCTCAAAAAAATAGCTATTAGTGTCAGCAGAGGTAAGTATGTTTGGAAATACATTTTCAGTTTAGGAAAATGATAACCTTCATTTGTTTGCCAACTTTTACTGTTTCAGCCATAAATTGAAACTAGTTATAGGGGATAGATTGTTGGAATGTATATATTTTAGTAAAATTCACAATGTCTTTATTTTCTTTTATGTTACTAATATGAAAACTTTCCAAGAAAAGATTTTCAGATTAAAAGAAGTAGATAGTGTTGTGAGACAAAAATTTAGAAGTTGAATTTAGTGAATCAGTAAATATTAGTAAAGTTGTATAAGATATGCAAAAATACTCTATTTTCTGTTTTTCACCTAAGACAAATAAATAAGATTCCACTGACATCTTCAACAGCTGTCATAAGGGATGTTTGTAGTGATTTTGCAATGTTTCCTGCATCTTTCATAATGTTTAAATATTTTTAGACTAATGCTGCAAGCATGAATCTTGAAAATCTATTATATTCTGTACTAACTTCTACTTAATACAATATTAGAAATTAAATTTTATCTTTCAGTGTCATATCATACACATTTTTTTAAATCTACAAAAAAGGTTTGATGTAAATATTTAAAAATTCATGTTTCTTTTAATTAAAAGAAGAAACTATGAAATGCTTGTGTGTGTAAAGTAATGTTTTTAAACAAATCTTAAAAAAAACATGAAATATTTGTGTTCTGTCACTATAATTGTCAGGACTTGTTAATGAGATAGAATTGTAGTGATATTTTTAGCTTCTTCAAAACTTTTCAGACATTATGTGAAACAGGTATGCTAGAAGGATTTGTTACATTCGTAGTCTCTAATTACATGGTAAATAGTTAGAAAGCCAGGAAAATGTTTAGAAGTAAATGAATTTGTCTACTTTTTGCATGTTATTAGTCTATATTCTTTGGTATATTATTTGATTAAATAAAAATTGTTTAGTGCTTTACTATAATCACTAAAAAAAATCAGGCTTAATTCTCATTGACAATCGAGGGCAAGAAAAAAGAAGATTGGGTAAGTACTTTATTTCTTGTTTTTCATATATTTTTTTTATTTTTTATTATAAAAGTAACTAAAATTAAAAGTAAGGATCTTTTTAAGTTATTTAAGAGTAGAATAGGTAAAATAAGTAATAATAATATAAATAAAATTGTTCATGAAGCACACACGCACGTGAGCAGTTCGTGGGTAATGTAATTCGATAGTGTACTGTGAGCTGCACGTTCCCCGAGTGATTTGCAAATTATAATGGCATAGATAGCAGTTAGACACGGTTCAAAGGACAATAAAACAATAAAATTTAGTTATAAATAAATTTTTTTTTGTGGTTACGAGGTCGGGCGAATTGACTGATCCCATTTTGAGATTAGGGTAGAGAAAAAAACTTTAAAAACTATAAGAAATTAGGGGAAAAAAACGTTTGAAATGCATTTAGGAGATTTTAGGGATTACACAAAGGAAATTTGAAATTTTTGAGATGACGAAAAGCATGTTTAATTTTAACATGAAAATTACTTTGCACATAGACTATTCAAAACAAATACTCAATATATTCATGGACAAAACTTTATTTTATTAAAAGTACTTCACTAAGAAATATGAGTTTTTTGTATGTGAAAGACTTGTAATGTTAACTGAAAGACTGCCAAATTTCGTGAAGATATACCCAATATATAGAGAGTTATAAGTATTAAATTTATGTCAACTTTAAACTGGTACAGAAGGTCACGTGACTTGGTCAAATTGACCGACCCCATGTCAAAAGATTTAATCAGGCTCAATTCTCCAGGCTTTGCCTTTCCATCTCTTTCCTTATATGTTACCTTTCTTTCCTCCAATTATTGTTTAAAGTTTTTTGTTAATTCTCTGATACTTTTTCATTTCTTTTGATCCACTATGGCTCATCTATCGGCTTCTGCCCTTATCCTTAAATACCTGGCTTCTGTGTTGTTGGGACTTGTTGAGGAGGGATGCATTACTTGCAGAAGTGTATCTGCCCCATTCTTCCCTGCAAGATCTACATCAGGCCCCCTATTTATGAAATACCATTTTTGAAGGTCATCCTGATTCTTTGGAATCCAGGATTGATGTGGCCCATTTACATTCTTCCTTGTCTTCCCTGGCCACATATTTATTTCAACCTCCCATTTTCTCCCAGGATTTGCCTATCTTTGCTTCCTGCCCTCCTTCTTCCTTGCCCAGATCCTTACCCTCCTCCAGGCATTCCCGTCCCTATTCTCATTTTTCCCACATCCAAGCTGACAGAAGTCAGTGTTGTTGGTTACACAGCGGAGGTTACCATAACTGTGGGGGCCAGATTGCTCATCTTTTCAGCTGTGTGGTGGCATATCACAACAGATATGTGGGTTCTACAGGTTCTGTCAAGAGGTCTTTGATTCAGTTCTCAGTCTCCTCCTCCCCTTTCCTCTATTTCTTTTCCTTCTCCTTGGGATCCTTCATCTCTAAGTCGTCTTACCAAGGCCATCTAAGACCTGCTACACAAGGAAGCTATCAAGCAAGTGTGCTCTATTCAACTATGGGTTTATTCCCATCTCTTCGTGGTCCCTAAGACAGTGGGAGATTGGAGACCTATCATTGATCTGTTCCAGTTGAATTCTTTTCTGAACCCCTTTCCCTTCACTGTGAAGTCCTATCTCTCCTTTCAGTGCATGTTTTCCCTGGGACACTTGATGATCAAATTTGACATGACATTTGCCTATCTTCACATTCCTATTGCTCCAGATTCATATAATTTTCTTGGCTTCATCCACGAGGGTCATGTGTTCCAGTTCAAGACCCTGCCATTCAGACTCGCATTGGCTCCTTATGTGTTTTGTCAGGCAGTATGCACATTTGCCTCTCACCTTCAGTCACAGGACCACACACTCATCTACTTCTACAGGAAGCAACAAGGGTGGGTTTTCTGATCAAAGTAGAGAAGTCTGTTCTTACTCCCACTCAATACCTTATTCACTTAGGGTTTTTTCAATTCCAACCTTGTTCAGACCCAGCATTCTCGTCTTTGTCTGTAGGATATAGAGTGAGTGGTTTCCATGGCTCTCACCTCCAATTTTCTCATAGTTCAAGAGGTTCTATCTCTTTTGGGGATGGGCTTCCTTGGAAGCTCTCATTCCCATAGGTCAAGCTCATATGCGTTCACTTCAGTGGAACTTCTCTTTTCCTCTACCTTGTCTGGAGTTATATCTGTTCACAGATGCATCTTTAGAGAATTGGAGTGCTTCCCTCAACTCTTTAAAGATTTCTGGCCTGTGGTCTGTTGAGGAGTCTGTTTCTCATATCAATGTTTTCAAACGTGTGTTGGTTCATTGGGCTTTATCCCATTTCCTTCCTCTGTAGTGGGGGAGGGTGGTTATGGTCTATTGCATCCCCTAGCAAGGCAAAACCAAGTTCAGGTCTGTGATTTTGGACTGTGGGTCTCCTTTTCTGGGCTCACAGATACCACATGGTGGTCTTAGCTTGCCATGTTCCTGGCACTATGAATCTGGTTACAGATCAATTATCTCATTCCAACCAGATTCTCTCCATGGAGTGGTCCCTAGATCTTTCAGTGAATACTTCATGTCAATGCCTTTACCACACATTGGAACACCAAAATTCCTTCCTTTTGGTCTTCTGTTCCACACCCATTAGCTGTAGGGGTGGATGCGTTCAGTCAAGTTTGGAGGGGGGTCTTCACATCTATGCTTACACTCCTATTTTACTCCTCTCCAGCATTATATCCCTAATCTACACCACTCTGTGGCTAGTTCTACTTATGGCTCTGTATTGGCTGGTGCAGCCAGTGTTCCCTTTGCTCTGACATTTCCTTCTACAACCTCCCATACCCTGTCCATTTATTCTTCAGATTTATTCCCAACAAGTTTAGTCAAGTCTATTCACTAATCAAGCATCCAGCTTTCAAAACTAGTTGAGCTACCAATTTTTTATAAAATTTTTAGTGTGTTATTTTCAGATAAAACTGATTTCCACACAAATTATTAGATAAATCTGCTAATAACAGCAGGGTCAACCAGCAAGTCTGTATTAGAAAACTTACTTGAGTTTCCCAGTGTGTGAAATAATGAAACTGAACAAGTATTGAATAAAACAAACACAGTATATATATATTATAACTAAACAAAAATAAAATGCAACTTGTGTACTTGCACAAACAATAAATTTGTTTTTACAGGATTTTTGAGTAGGCTGTCTGTTTTCTTTCTCTTTAGATGAATCTGGTGAACCAGTTGGGATCAGAAAACATATACAACTGAGACCAAACAATAGCTTTGATTTTAAAAGAAACCTTGCATTATTTCTTTCTCTTGCAATGGTGTCATCACATGGCTGTTGTTCTTTCACAGCATTCATTGACTGCAACATACAGACATCATCTACTTGGCCAGCAATGGACATTGCAGTCATTGACCTTTCTAACACTTAAACAAATTAGACCACAATATCCCCTTGGGCAGAGTTGATATTATCTGCTACATAGAAAAATGAAACAAAGCAACTAGCACAAGACAACTCCAATGGTTTTCTAGAACGTGTTTATGCTAAATTTGGATAGAAACTAGTTAAATGAAATTTTTTTTAATTTATCAAAAAACCATAATAGTGGTTCCTAATAAGGAACATACAGGAATTTGCTTAAAACTCTTAATAGAACAATTGGGCAAAAACCACCTTAAAAAGCACTCAAAAGCTTCCTTTTCAATAGTTAAGATCACTCAAATATTGATATTAAGCAAAATAACTTATTTAACAATTGTTAGACAAAATCAAAATTTGATAACGAAGAACCCATTTTTTTAGAAAATAAAAGTTTACAGACGACTTGATTGGGTAATGAAAAACTTTATTATAAATGTACAATGTTCAACAAGATTTCGTCATTTTCAGGTACAAGTAGTTTACAGAGATACATGAGTATATATATATATATATATAGTATAGAACAAAGAGGTCACATGACCAGATATTGCTTCATAGTCTAATTGAAAAAGACAGCCCCATCTTAAATGAAGCAATATCTGGTCATGACCTCTGTTCTATACTGCATATATATCTACTGTGGGATTGCACAGAAATCTTGCAAAAAAACTGGGAAAGTACTTTTAAACTTAATTCGATCTCCTTAATTTTGTTATTCTGCAAAATTTTTAAAGACCTTCACTTTTTGACATCAAAAAATCAATCTTTCCTAGTGTGCATGTTAGTTGGAAACTGCAACTCGATAATTTTCTAGCACATCAATTGAAAACTGCCAAATTGATAAGTACTGTAGACATGGAGTCAAAATAGGGATTTGTAGCTTGAGAAAATAAGGTAGACACTATTTCTAGCCTTATTTTTTACTTTGTTTTAGAGTACCTAATTGTAGGATTGAAAATATAATCTTTGCATTTTGATTCCACTTGTTTCTATACTTTTTGAAGATCCCTATTCCATCTTTTTAAATTAAAAATTTTACTAATCCTATATATAACTAAAAGTAGATGGAAAACATATTACTGTAGATAGTGTGTTCTGCATAACACATTAATATGGCATTCAGTTTAAAATTTTAAGTTAAATCTTTCAAATATCAGTACTCAAATTAGTATCCATAAAGTGATGCTTTTTAAAATGTTCTAGCACAAAAAAAAATCTTCATTTAGATTTTGTACATAATATACAGTTTGAAATTTCAAAGGTATACTTGTATGTAGTTGATGCAAATTTACAGATAATTACCAATAAGTTGGAATTAATTCATCATGGTCATCTGACAGATATTAGAAAGATGCAGTTTGAGCCAAGTATAATACAAAAAGTATAATACCGTGTTCTGCAAAAATGTTCCTTGATGAAACTAATCTTCTTGTAATTTGGTCAGTAAATCTTTTTGTCCTTGGTAGTATGCCCAAGAATCAAGAGAAGTGTATGTACGCCATGGCCGAAGCTTACTAGGAGCTAAAGTTGATGACATATCTGGAATCATGAACATCACTGGCAGTATGCTGATGTACTGTGAAAACATAACAGTTACAGTTGATGTCAAAGATGGCATGAATGCTTCCTCTATCAATCAGTCACTTAGTCTCCCTACCACTCCTGACAAAGAATCTTTCTTTGGAAATACTTCAGCAAGGTTTGTCTTTCACCATGAAAAGCTCCACAGATGTGTATTGACATAGGTAGAATTAAATTGAAATGTTACTAGTATTTGTATTAGTATGAATTATTGTGATCATATTTTGCTAAAAACATAGCTATTCAGATTTTATTAATTGAATGTAATAACTAAACTTTTGTAAATTAAGCTTTGCAACTAATGAAATAATAGAGGCTTCAGTATTTATTTGTAGTAATTTAATCTTCTTGCAGAAATTTCTTTCTTAAGAGACACTTTAATATTAAGTGGGTTCCCTTATACCTTTTGTAAACAATAAATTTCAACTTGAGTCCAAGTAGTGTTTTTTACCTATGTATTTCCTTACCTTGGCAGACATAGCTTCCTGTTTAAAGTTTGTTTGTAGTTAGTTGTCTGCTGCAATGTGTAATTTAGATTTATTACTTTTTTTTTGTTATGTGGTGGTAATAACGATCTATCTATGCTGCGCCCACTACGAGGATCAAAAACCCCAATTTTTAGTATTATAAGTCTCCAGACTTACCACTGAGCTGCTCATATTATGACTTTTGTTATTAAAAATTGAAATGAAATATCTGGGAGAATTTTGAGCATCATGGAATCTACATCTTGCAAATGGAAAGGGTTCTCAATTATAAAGAAAAACTATTATCCAGACTAAATAAAAGCAGGGACAGAAGATATAGCTTGTCCACAATCTTGAGATAAGTGAATCCACCCCACAAAGTTGGAAGAAGGATGAGGAAAAGCTATGCACTCTATCATGCACCCTAGAAGAAACTTCTGCAAAGAGTATTTTATTTTCAAAGTTACCTACACTAATGGTAATTTTTGCTTTAGGAGCACTAATTAGAGTTTAAAGCCTATTATACAGTTTGAATATCAACAAAATGTGTGAATAGACCGTATAACGGATGGATGGGAGATGAAAGGAAAGAGTGGATAGGTGAGGGATGTGAAGTTTCAGTATAGCACAACTCCGCATTTTTTGAAGCCAAACTATTGCATTATAGTGAGATTCCACAGTGGATCTTTGAATGTAGTAAGCACATCTTCACAAGATTTAGTAAGCTTTTAGTAAACCTGGTTTTACTAAATATTTGTATAATAATTTACAAATCCTTTACTGAATCAGTGTGGGTGCAAAATGATTTAAGTTTAAGAATAAATATCCTTTATTTCATCTTACAGTTTTCAAATTTCATTTGTATAACCTCTACCACATGAATATCAAATATTTTTTTCATTGTATTTTATATTTTATCTTTATTTTTTTACTCTAACACTAACTATATGTAAACTTGGTCAGTTTGACTAACCATTATAACCACCACATAACAAAAAAAAATATGTAATAAATCTAAATTACACTTTTTTTTTTCTAGAATGACTGCACATTGCAGCAGACAAATAATATTTATTCTTACAACCAAAGCTAATAGAATCTTCATTTAGTTTCATTTCATTACAGATGCACTTAGATTCTTAGGGATATCTATAAATGTGTAATTCATGGGAAACTTAAAATATCATATAGGTGTAGAAAGAAAATCGAAAATGAAAAATGTGGAGTGAAATATGATGTGATGCAGACAAGTGAAGACTAAGAATTTATTTATTTTCTTTTGAAATAAAAAAAACGTATATAATATTAAAAATTTGAGCTAAGACTACATTTTGATGCCAGGTTTGTTTACATAAATTGATAATAAAATAGTTTAGTTAAATTTTCATTGTAACTCTAAAAAAGGTCATGATATGCACTTTGACCTACTCACAGTCAGTGGGTTAAAATACTATTTTATTAAATAAGTATACTAAATATATATATACATATATATATTTCTGTTTATCATGCAGAAAGCTCCATGTATTTTTGTCTTGTTTTTGTTTCTTTTAATATATAAATTTGTTTCTTATTACTTGTGTCCCCTGGTGGCTCATCGATAACTTTCAAGACTTGTAACACAAAAAATTCATGTTCAATGTATGTGGCAGATACAGCAAAGATAGCAGTTTAGCACTAGAAGTTTTATATTTTATGCATCTGTTTATTTTGTTGGTTACTTGAAGGTTAGGAAGATTCCTGAATAAATTGACATAATATTTAGTATATCCTCAGTATTTTATTTTATTTTTCAGATTGATTATTGATTTCAAGCCAGAAGGTAGTCTGTCAAAATTTGTTCTTAAGTAAGTATATAATAACTACTACTGAACTATTTTCCTTCATTCTTTTTATCTTATTTTTGTTCTTGAGTAAGTATACAATAACTAATGCTGAACAATACTCTTGTTTTTATTGTATATAGGGTTCTCAAATTAACCTTATCTCGACAGGCATCTGTCACTGTGCATGTCACGAGGTTGTAGTTAATTACATTCAGAATTTTATTAATCTACTTTAGTATAGCATAAAATCTTAGATGATAATCCATATTTTAATAGCATACAAGTTTTAAGTTCTTAATTTTATAAGGCAATATTTAAAAAAATCCTTAATTTCCCCTAGTGTGACGCATGACACATTTTCCCTAGCCATCTTCTTTATTTTATCCACCACCCCCAAATAAGTATGAAATTAAATGAAATTTACTAACTATAAAACTGTTATTGCTCAGACAAACCATAATTTTTATAGTCTTCTACTTTGGTTACAGAGCTATCAAATAGAAAATCAGACCCCTCTTGCCAGCCCCACTTGTCACATCCTTTCAGGATTTCCCCTCAAGGTGGATTTTTGTATGTGGGGAAGGGACCTCCAAGGGAAGGTTCTGTATCTTCAGTTTACCTCCTCTGGGATCTGAACATCCTCCAACGTATTTGCCGTGCGTGGCAACCCGTGAAGGGGAGGAGAGGATCCTGGTGGTTGAGTGATGTCTGGGGCATTGCAACACACCACTTTGGCCTTGAATTCCTGTAGACGGGTGGCCTTGGGGTGGCTCCCCCAGGGTCAGTCAGCTGGTGCTGTTGGGCTAGGGTCAACTAAGTACCAGTGTTGGCCATTCTCAATGAGTGTTGTGGACATTATGTCTGCTGCTGGTGTTTGGGTATAGTGCTCACTAAGCTTTGGAGTTGCTACAATGTTCTTTCTTAGCATTGTAATGTGTCCCCTCATAGGACTCCATGGTGGGTGAGGTCAGTGGGCACTGAGTCATTTTAATTTTCACATGGATCCCCCAAATCCTGAAAAAAATAAAATGAGTAAAAAAAAAGCTAATAGGTAACTGACCGAATTTAGAAGACTAAGCAGTAGTCTCCACCCCATTCTGCACCTGTACCTCATTTTTATATTGTACATTCTTTCTCTGATAAACGTTGAGGACAAATGTCTTCCTTTTTTATTCAAAAGGGATTATAGGGGCTTGCTATCCCTCCAAAGTCAGTTAAAAAGCTACGTTGCGGTAGAAACATCTACATCGAAAAACATAGAATTTCTCCTTAGGTCAAAGGCCATTGGGGATATACCCATTGAGGTTACTCCCCATGCTACTCTGAATTCCTCCCAAGAAGTTATTGTTGAGAGGGATTTGAAAAACATCTCTGAGTCTGAGATACTCAAGGCTTCTCCAGCCAAGGAATTATGCTGCCTACCAGTATTCTTGTATTGACATTTACATTGCCACATCCACCTGCCTCTGTCAAGGCAGGTTGTCTTAACTTTAAGGTATGGGCCTTATATTCCTAACCCTCTCAGATGTTTCCATTGTCAGCAGTTTGGACATTCAAAGGTATCTTGTCATGGTTCTTTGACGTGTGCTTGCTGTGGTGGCTAAGACCAGGATGTCAACTGGACCCTCACTGCATCAGTTAAGATGGTCCTCACCCCTTTTACTTACGATCTTGTGTGGGTGGAGGAGAAAGAGGTGCAATGTTTACGTACTGTAAACATAATTTTTTGCCCCGAGGCTCGGAAGTTATTATTCCCTACTTCATCTTGGATATATGCTGCTGCACTACGTTCCACTGTTACAGTGGGAATGCAGACAGAACTTTCCTTGTCTCCATCTAGAGTCTTTCTCACACCATGTGAAGAGTCTTTTGCCCGTCATGGATGCACGAGTTGACAAGTCAATATCTGCTCCTGTCTCTGTTCCCACCATTGCTTCCAGTGATTGCTTGGGTTCATCTCCTTCGGCCCCAAGGTGCAGGACCATTATTTGATCACACTTCCAGTCACTGGATTCTCCATCCTCCAACAGAGATCTGCCTAATCGACCCAGGGCAGGTTCCATGGAGGTCGACAGACCTCCTTCAACTAAAGAAAAACAGCATGTTCACATGAAGAAGGGTTCTCCTTCACCTAAATAAAAATGGCCACTTTTATACATTGAAAGTGTTGGGGTTTTCATTCTAATTTGGATGACATTAAGGCCTTGATCGATTCTTATCATCTCATATGTCTTTCCTTACAGGAAACATTCCTGAGACCTGCTGATACAATTACCTTCTGGCAGTTTTCTTTATACCGGGATGACAGGTTGTGACGGTCGAGTCCATGTAGGTGTGGCACTGCTGGTTGACCGGCATGTGCCCACCTTGTCTGTACCACTCGATACACCCTTGGACGCTGTTGCCATCTGTATCTCTGTGAGTTGTACCATCATTGTTTGTTCTCTCTACCTGTCTCCTGGAGAGACTTACGATCTATCAGACCTCCTGTAGAACAGTTGCCATCTCCCTTTTCATCTTGGGAGACTTTAATGGACACAATACCCAATAGGGTGGTGCTGATATTGATGGGAGGAGTTATTTTGTGAAGCGTATGCTCTCAGGTCACAACCTTTCTCTCTTCAATACTGGTACTATTACCTATTTTCATGCACTTAGTCTTTTACTGCTACTGAACTTCTAATTATCATCCAGTTGCTTTGACTAGCTGTCTCTGTAAGGTCTTAGGGAGGATAGTTAATGCTCATCTTATATGGTTCCTTGAATCAAACAACCTCCTTTAGCCCCACCCAATGTGGGTTCTATCGACAGTACTCCACCATGGACCACATGATTTGACTTGAAACCTTGATCAAGGAAGCCTTCCTCATGAGAGTGAACATCTTGTCTTCCCATCTTTGACCTTAAAAAAGCTTACGACACCACGAGTAGGTACAACATTTTGTGGGACCTCCACTCCTGTGGGTTGCATGGTCATCTACTCATTTTTATTCATAAGCTTTTTACTTGACAGGCAATTCCAAGTCTGTGTGGGTTTGACATTTTTCTATTCTTTCCTTCAGGAACTTGGAGACCCTCAGGGCTGTGTCTTGAGTGTGACCTTTTACAGTCTCAAGATCACTCAACAACTTCCTCCTACTGTTGCAAATGGGGTCTATGTTGACGACTTCAACATCTCTTGTCAGTCGTTGAACATGAGGTTTATTGAGTGGCAGCTTCAGACTGCCTGCAATTGCTTGTTGAAGTGGACCTCAGCAAATGGTTTTACATTTTATTTCTCCAAAACTGTTTGCATGCAATTTTGCCACCAGTGGGATTTACACTCTGATCTCAAGCTCCATCTTGGTGGTATTGTTTTTCCCATGTTTCTATAGGCCAAGTTCTTGGAGCTTATCTTTGACCATAAGCTTACTTTAATTTTTAACATCAAGCAAGTACATGTCAAGTGTACAAGTGCACTGAACATTCTCCGTGTCCTCTCTTCCACCTCTTGGGAAGTGGATTGATGTTCTATATTGAAGATCTTTTGTTCCCGCATATGATCCAAGCTGGACTATGGGTCTATGGTTTATCATTCTACCAGGTTTTCTGCACTGAAGGTGTTGGACCCTGTCCACCATCTGGGGCTTCAGATCTTTACGGGGCCTTTCTCACATAGCCAGTCCAGAGTCTATACACTGAGTCCCACGAATCTCCTCTTCACCTCTGCTGTTTGCACCCGTCTTTACAATATGATACCAAGATTCGATCCTTACCCACAGCATCCCACCTGGGGTTGTGTCTTCCTTCCTCAGTGGGCTGTGCTCTTTCAGAATAGATGGTCTTCTATTCCTCCTATTTGGCTTTTATTACCAGGTACAGCTGGCTGAATTTGGTCTGTCATTGAAACTTGATGGGGCACACTAATTATGGTAGGCTTAACACTATTAATGTATGTAGATAACAGCTGCTGACTTTGTTTTTTACTTCTACTACTATTTTTGTTTTTCTTTTCTCAATGATATTAAATTTTACATATGTTGTGAAGCTTATACTGTATTTTTCAAAGTGACTGTTCTAATTCACATTTTTTTTGTGTGAAAGATATGCTTTTTTTGATACAGAAACTAACTTGCTATTTTTACATACTTAAACATTAATGAATTGTCTGTTTACAGCTTTTTTATTTATCTTTAGAAACCTTGCTATTTTGCAAGTTATGATTTTTTTTTTTTGATAGACTGAACTTCAATGAGTCCCATGGATCCTGGTGGTTGGAAGATAGTGTGAGTACAGTTTCCAGTGATGAAATTAATCTACCTGAAACAAATGTTACCTTGAGGACAGAAAGTATTGGAGGAGCAAGTGGCTTCTCTTACAGCTGTGGATCACTGTTGTTGCAGAATGCAAACTTATCTGATGAAGTGATTGTCCAGATAAAATTCAGTGTTTTTCAGGTGAGTTATTACAACATTGCTTGTTTTAATAAAAGTAAAGTCCTAGAATGTAAACCTTTCCCTTGAAGTGGTTGCTTATGTAAAGTTTAATATTGTTCAGGTGAGTTATTAGAAACACTGCTTATCTTAATAGCATAAAAGTCCTGTTCCTAATGGTGAGTATTTGGATAGGTGCCTGTATAACAACTATAGTATTGGGCCAGTGTTAGTATCCTGAAGTTAAAGAAGATTGGCAGTTTGGCTGGGTCTGTCTTTTTAGCTTTTAGAATGTACAATTGCACAGAAAACTTTATGATTGGACTACAGTGCTCAAAATGGCCCTATAATTCCTGTTTGATTTTAAGTTTTTTTTACTGTTCCTATAATCCCTGTATTCTGATATGACTCAAAAGAAAAACAAATAAATCGATATTTTGTAACCCCATTAATAACCTATATTTGAACAAACAGGTGCTTTATAAATATTACTGTATAGCATCAAAAACAAATAAAATGCTAGAATTATTGTTCATGTTGTTGTATTAACTAGCATGACCTTAAAGTAAGCTTTTGGATGTTTCATAAAATATTAATATTAGTATAACAGTTAATGAAATTACTAAATGAAGTTAAATGTTTCATAATGAATTCATCCATGTGCATCCCTAGGTTTGGTTGTGAATGATATATATTTATAATACAATATATTCAGTCCTCTGTTTGTGTAGAAACCTCCTATATTTAACCACATTTCATCTACAAAATCCACTTTAAGCTCTAATAGTTATAAGAAAGAAAAGGCTTAACATTATTACATAAATTCCTTTTTATAAACTCAAATGTAATGTACTGTAAAAGGTAAACATTTTTTTTAATATTAATTAAGAATAATAAGGGGAAAATGTTATAATCATCACCATTTGAATGTGTATAGTTAGATGAATTAATATCATTAAATGATTGTTTGAGTTTTGACCTTGCTTTTAGAGTGGGTTCATAAGGAATCTTTCTTTCAGGTTCAAGTGTTTGATGTTCAGGATGTGTTTTCAGACAGTTTTGATTGTACAACCTTTTTTACTATTCCAACATGGATGGGAATTTTGGTGGTACTAATATTCTCAGTGATCCTTGCTTATGGAATTCAGCTACTATTTGGAATACATACAATGGATAGATTTGATGATCCAAAGGGTAAACCTATTATGGTACCAACAACAGAGTGATCCTAGTTTTATAGGTCTAGTTTTAATTGTTGTGATTTCAATAATTTATTGTTCTGTAGTAGTATAGGAGGTTTGATCAACTGATTGGTTATTATTGCTCTAAGAAATAAATTTAACTATTCCAGCAATACATCTAGTTCACTGTAATGTATGAATTTTAGCACTAGTTCCACGATCTAGTGCTTGTTATCATAGTACAATTTGAAAACCATCAAGTAAGGGCTTTTTTTTTAAGTTTCTCTCATAGACTTAATGTATATGTATATAATCAGTTTGATGTTTTTTTTATTAAGCATATGGTTTAATTAATCTATTCTTACTTTTGTTTCAGAAATTTATTATGTAAATCCACAGAAATATGTTTATAATCATGCTATTAAATATACAATATAGTTTGATTACTTATTCCTTGATTGTGCTAAGTCTATTTGTATACATATTTGGATAAAACTATGAATCTTAAATTTTTGAAGTGGAAGTAGTTTGTACATTTAAATATGTTTTTCATCGAAGAAAAAGCAAGGTTTTGAGCATGTCGTGACTGTGGTGAAGTGTTGAAATATAGAAAACCACGATTTTGTTTGAGTTCTGTAATGTGTAAACCTAGAATCATTTAGAAAATGTATGTTTCCAACTAGATATTTATTGTAAAGTTGTAGTATTCTCACTTTAAATATCTTGTACATGTATATTTGAGATATTAAGCTTAAGTGTAAATTCATGAATTGTGAACAATAAATATATTAAAATCTTGACTCTTCTGTTTAAATTTTGTAAAAGAAAAAATAGTAGTTTAAGAGTGCTTTAAACATAGTCTTGTGTTTAAGTGTAACTACAACCTTTATAACATTTTGAAGACAGCTTGAATGGGAAGAAAATTTTATTAATTATCAGCTATTATATGGATTGAGTTAAATATTTTACTTAATTACACTACTATAAGCTGTTTCTTTCTACAACTGTAACAATGAGGTTGAATCTATTTGGGTTTCTGTTAATGGTTATAAGGGATGAAGGTTTTTGTTTGAATTTGTTACAGACCACCAGAAAAACTGATTAAATCAGTGCAAGCTCTACAATTATATGCAAATGTAAGGTAATGCACATGGGATATCATAATTTGAATTACGAGTATGATTTTGATGTACATAATCTTAACAGTGCTATGGAAGAACAGATTTTGGTGTTCTGGTTGATCAGTCTCTTAAGCCACCCAAGCAATTAGGAGTATCATTTTGATGAAAATAATCTTAACAGTTCTATGGAAGAACAGATTTTGATATTCTGGTTAAAGTCTCCTAAGCCACCTAAGCAATGTACTGTTGTTAGTGGTTGTACTACAGAAATGTTGAATACAAGTCTAAAGAGTTTCTTATACCATTGGTTAGACCACATTTGGAGTACTATGTTCTATCTTGGGCACCTTACCCAAGAAAGGACATTGAATTGTTGGAAAAGGTTATTAGGATGATACTTTAGGAATGGAAAGATTGTCATTTAAGATTAATATCTCTGAAATCTTTTTAAAAAAAGAAGAGTTAGAGGGTATGTGATTTAGGTCTTAAAGATTATAAAAGGAATTGATAATGTTGATGCATCATCATTTTTCATATTTAATGATGAGAATGGTAAGAGTAGGGGACAGGATCGGAGTTGTCCTCAGCTAAGACAACTTTATTTTTCTAACAGAGTGGTTAGCCTTTAGATGTGGTAGATTCAGTTAATTTAAGGGAAGGCTTGGTAAATATTTAAATGATAAGAACTAGCTTTGTTACTTTTATTTTAGATTTTAATATAGTGGATGGGACAGTCAAGATGGTCCAATACATCCACCATTGTCCTTAAATTCTATGTAATTATTGATATTTGCTGTGCCCTAAATTTTTCACACTAATTACATAGAACGTACAGGGAAATTATGTGTTAATCTCACAGTAAGTTCAGTATAATATAAATAGTGCTTTGTTTTCACATCTCTTTTGCAGTATAAATGATAATTCAAAAGTAGAAACTAAAGCAGCAGGTGGAAAAGTGTACATGAACCCATGACTTAGCAAGATTTTTATTGGTGAAATAGGTTATGATAAATACATGCACCATGAGAGGTGATGGTATGAAATGGCCATAAAAAGCAACATACAAAGTATCAAGTAATTTACAAAATTAACAATGATAAAAATTTTTATGAAAATCATCATAAAACATCAATTTCAGTTAGAACAAGAAAAATAAACTATACTAACTAAAATATAAAGTAATACTGTATTCACATTTCATTGATCAGTTAAGTCAGAACTGAGATGGAATGTTGAAAAATAGTTTAAAAGAGAGAAAATCATAAAAATTAAGCGATCTTCCTTAAAAGCATAAATATTTGATTGTTTCTAGCACAGTGACAAAAGAAGATTCTGGCAAATTTCAGAACAAACTGTTCCATAACTATCTGCCTTGTGCTGGAAAAGTAGCTAAGCAGTTGCATAATTATTGTAGATCAGATTATTTAGTATTAATCAGTCACCAACTGAAAAATAAAACAGAGTAAAAGATGAGTTTTTCTTAGCTGTCTAGCAATGTATAAACAATATTTGTTTCTGTTTTGATTTCTTTTTTTGCCATTATATGACTTGTTTTAGCAACAGTTTTAAATCAATCAAGAAAATGACGTACAGTTTGTTCTAACCTCTTCAAAAATAACTCAAGAAATTAGTTTAAATTTTATTTAACAACTGAACCTTGTTTTTTCTTAAAGTTCCAGAAGCAAGTATTATCCACAAAAAATGTAAGTTTCATTTTTTATAGCTGTCCAAAGATGTCCTTTAAAAACAATAAACTCTTAATTTGAACCACATATTGGTTACTTTCATATCAGTTCAGACATATTTTCTTAGTGCAAGCTACACAATGGGCTATCTTTACTCAGTCCACCACAGGGAATCATTCTTTAGATTTTAGCATTGGAAGTCCGTAAACTTACCATTGACCCACTAGGTGATATTGTCAATTATATGCTAATTCTGAACCTGATTTCTCTCATAGCTGTCAAAAAGATACGTTTTAAATACAAAATAAACTAGGAAACTATCTCAAATTAGTTGTCCAAATATATGTTTTTGACAATCTGTGAAATAGCTTTAATTATATGTATTATTAACACTAATATATGATTTCTTTCTCGGACAAAGAAATATGTTAAGTAAGTTTACATGTCACAGATTAAACAAGACTCATTTAACTCTCAAGTACACAGTGTGTTTTTAACCACATTCAACATATGAACATATGAATCTCGTTTGATTTATAGTTGCTCAGAGAAATTTTGAACATTCACTATTTAATCCTGGTTTGTTAATAGGTGTGCAGATATGTTTTAAAGTAAATCCAGGAGCACATTTCAATTACGTTAGAGACCTGAGCCTGCTTCCTGATTACTCTCAGCTGTCTTTAAAAAAAAAAAATTAACAGACAAAATAAATTCAAAAATACAATTTCTACTAGATAAAATATCTAAACTTGTTTCTTCAATTAGATGTCCTCAGTCATGTTACGTTGACCTCCATAAAGAAGGTGCAACATATTAGCTCAGTCTCATTTTAAGCTACTTAAGGTTTTAGTACACAAATTGTCTATTTTTCTCCTACAATCCTTCTTTGCCACCATATACTATAATCAATGTGTACACTTTATCTTAATTTTTTTTATCAAAGACTGTTTCAACTAATAAATTAAGGACAACTTAATCATGAAACAAATTTACTTCAAAAATCCTTTTATTAGGGGGGTGGGCAATAATGGCACAGGATCTGGAGATATGTATATGATTTCTATGCACAAATAACAGCACCAAATCCTAATCATAGTTTCCAACCTAGTTAAAATTTTGGGAATATTAACTAACAAGAACAGTCTCCATTTTTACTTCCAGACAGATTCTTACACAATTGCTTTGGAAACATTTACAATAATGACTAGCACATGACCACTTTTTAACTTTTACAAAACTAACTTCTTTTATAATACAAAATTAACTGTGACTATGTAATCCTTGAGTTTGCAGTATCTCCCCCTCACACAGATACAGTTTCTTCTATGCGGATAGTCCACCAACACTACCCGACAAAAGAAACACTGCTAAAAGATAAAATATATTGCTGATAATCCACAGGCTATGTAAGTAGTGCATTTCTATCTTAGGGACTAACATATGAAAACCTCGTAGGTTTTGATTTCACATCTTTATAAATTTTAAATTAATACAAATTTCAACACCATATAATACACTAAGCTATATGCAAAACACAGAACTTTGGTCAACAACAGTGACTGTACTTCATTGCTATAATATTGTTGAGCTTCCAAGAACTACTTTGAAACTACTTCTAAGGCTAAATACTGAAAAATTTAATGCAGTAGAAATCTTTATGTAATTAACAAAACAATTTCAGAAACTGAACTGTAAAGGGTGAAGAGTAAACTCTCAAACAATAAAACTCAAGCTTTAACAAAAGTATTTACACGTTCAAATATAAGGAAGATCAACCCGCTAAAAATGGTAAACAATACTACAATGTGAAAACATCAAGCAAAAAAATGAGTTCTTCACAACTAATCAAAGTAGTTTTAATGTCTGATTACAGGTAATAAAATAGGCAGAAATTTTCAAATACTTGATAACTTTATGGACTATACTGATCATAAAAAACTTCAGTACTCTTGTATACATTCATCCAGAAAACTATTTTGTACTTCCTTTTTTTTTCTTAGTACAGGTTATTTCTAATTCCTCGAGGTTAAAACTTGTTTCGTTTAAATCAGACTTTTCATCCAGCTTTTTAGTATCATTAGATGAGTTAAAATGGTGCAGTATCATCACAAAAAATTAAAGATATCTTCCAGCTCTACATTCTAACTAACAGAAATACATAAGCACTGTCACACTAATAGCTTCAAAATACAAACATATCCCAAGTTCATGGTCCCAAAGTGCTCTTATGCTTAAGTCAGTAAGACTATCAATTAACTTAAAAATACAGATTACCAAATGCTCTAGGGTTAAAGTCACTCAATCCACATACATCTAGATTATTTAAGTTATTTTTGTTAACAACTGTTCTACTGCTAGATTGAGATATAGTGTGAAGGTTCAAACATATGTAAGGTTAATATTGGGTAAAATGCTCTAGAAATGGTTTTAAAAATTGTGCACAAGATTTGTTTTAAAAATCAAAGATAATATTAGAGAAATATTATGGAACTAGTTCTTTATATAGGATCTTGAGGAAATGTAGATGGATTTTAAGGTACCTTCCCTGAAATACTGAAATTTGAAAACAAATATTAAAGTAATTAGTTTTTTAATTTTTTTTTTTTTTTTTTTT